ACGTTGCTAATGAGCTCTTCACTGTTGAGTATGAAGCAACTGGAGGCGACCATGTGTTGACCGCAGCAGCTATCCAGGTACCACTTGTTGATGTCATCGTTTTTCTTTGCGATGCTTGTGATGCGTGGAGTGACGTGGTGTCCCATGTCATTGTCTTGTCATAATTCCATCCTTCGTCGTTCAATGCGATGCGTGCAGGTGGCGACTCCGCGATCCACTGTGGCGCTTCCCAGTCAAACGGGATTCGCCCGACTGTCAGCTCGTCATATGTCGGGTCATTGTCTTCTTCGCCTTCGACCGACCCTTACTTCTCCTTCGGCAGGTGGGCCCCAAAACATATTTTCCCAGCTGCGACGGTAGTGACGGCTGATTCGGGGAGGTCCATGTCGCGCCATGCAAGTTAACTCCTTGCTCTTCCCCTTGGTGTTGTCGATAGTGATGTGCGCAGGAGCTTGTGAAGTGCTGGTGACGGTGGGTGGAGACATGGTTTGGTTGCGCGTTGGTGGTCCGGTGGCTTGGTTGTATGGTGTTACTCATGTTTGCCTTTGCACGTGATCGTTGTTGTTGTTGTTTTCTGCTCTCTTGCACTTCCAGCACTCCTTGATGGTTTGACCCATGTTCTTGCAGTATTTGCATAACAACTTCTCTTTGTCCGTCGTTGCTCCTGCACTTCCTGAGTAAAAGGCGATCTTCTTTCTCTTGTTGCCTCTCTCGTTGTATAGGTCGATCTCCTGCTGTTTGGCGAGGAGATTAGCACAGAGCGTGGTTTTGGAGATTGCCCCTTGAGCGCGAAGGAGCGACTTGCACTGACGCCACTCCGGACCCAGTCCATTGAAGTTTCCGCCGCTTTTCTTGGGCTGATCCCTCAGATTTCTGCAGCGGTTGATATATGCCCCTGCTTTCTCCCCACGGAACATCCTGCCGTTATTGAGCTGGTTTAGTAGGCGACTGAGCGTCACTGAGACAGTTGCCATGTATAATGTGCGCAAGTACTCCCAAGACTGTTGTGCAGGCACCCACTTGTTTTTGAAGGAGCGGATACCGAGCTGCTCCGCGGGCGACAAGTTGCGGACCAGGACAGCGTAGGCGAGCAGTGACTCATTGCAATACTGCGCCTTCTCTTGAGGTGAGGCGTCGTTGGGAAAAGGTACCGGTAATGTACCATTGTAGTACATCCAGATCTGTGCGCTTTGAGCCAGGAGCTCAAATTTGAAGCTCTGGGTGTAGAAATCCTTCCCATCGAAGAGGTTGACCGTCTTGAGTTTTTAGTTGACGCGAAATGTGCCTATTGAGCTTGAGCATGCATTTGTCGATTGTCGAAAGTGAACGAGTTCCCGGAGTAAGGTTTTTGAGGATCGGAAGGTCTTGCGACGTAGCTTGAGCCGTCAACACTCATGGGTTGATGGTGACTCTCCAGTGCGTTGATGCGGGTGACGAGTTGCTCAATGAGAGCAGGATCAACTGATGTCACTCCTGAGGTGACATTGAAAGGTTGATGGACGGATTTTTCTCAAGTTTCTCCGAAGTCAGTGCCTGGCTTGACGAGTGCTCATAATGCCACAAATTTACAATAAAGGCCAGTTTACATAAGTTGTGTTTAGCAGATCTTAGAATCCAAATTAGCTCTATTAGAATAAGAAAAGGATCTTGGAAAGGATAAGTCAGCTAGAGTAGATATCGGAAGTCTTTGTGGTAGGAACCTTGATCATATTGAATGTAAATGACAAGATTGATAATAATAAAACATTACAGGCAATATATAGATCCTAGCTAGCCATGTACTCTGAGGGTTACACTCCCTCATTCAACTATGATACAGGCACCGCTACAGTAGCAGTGACTATTCCGATCCCTACGGTTACATCGTTGCAGCCTGTAACCTCTGATACGGTTGCGACAGTTGGAGCAAGTCGCAACCTCCTGGTCCAGGTCGGTCAACAGCCGCGACAGTTGACCCGCGACTGTTGATCTGCGTGCCCTATATGGGCTAACGCGATAGTGATACATGTGTTACTTCGCTAGTAGCTGGTGCGATAAGGCTGCACCTTATGGAATGCTAGAGAAGACTTTCGATTTACTCCAACACCTATTTTGCAAACACTTCTTCGCCAAAGTCTTCCGCTGCGTCTCATCCTCTACTTAGTACCCCGCTATTCCTTAGCGAATTTAGGCCAAGGGGCTGAGTCCTCACTAGATGCCCAACCTTAGAGCCCAAATTTTCTACACTTTTTACTTAGCTTCTCTCTTTGCGGAAACAGCATGGAAACATTGCACGCTGATTACAGTCCTATTTTCTGAGCGCTGCTGTTTTTCACCATATTGCTTTGTCATCCGTCCCCTCGTCATATATTTTAGAAGTGTTACCACCATATCTTCACTTGCTCACTACACCCCCATTTCTTTCGCGTGGCGCAGTTAACGAGGCAGGCGAAAGGCATGTGCTTGCGTCAGTTAAGGAGAAGTTGGGGTGCTGCTAATAAGAATCAGGTGTAAAATCCGGTCCCCCTGATTCGTCCGCGGAAGAAGGGGGAGAAGGGGGGAGAGAAGAACCAGGAATGGGCGGGGCGGAAGAGTCCTACAGGGACGAAGGTGGAAAGGAAGAGCAAGGAGAAAGGAGTTCGGCGGGACAAGGAGGACAAGAGAACGAGGGTAGAGGGGGACGGTGCTGGGAGGGAGGTAATGAAGGAGAGAGGGGCGGAGGGAGGGTGGGAGGAGAGGAGGAATGGGAGGAGGGAGGATGGAAAGGAGGAAGGAACAGAGAAGGGGAGGGAAGAAGAGGCGGAGGGGAAGAGGGAAGAAGAGGGAGAGGAAAATAGGGCTGGAATAAGGGACGAACGGGTGGGTAAGGAAGGGGAGGAACGGAATGAGGACGAACGAGAGGAGGGGGGGGATTATTCAGTTTACAGAAGGCTCTCGCTCACCTCTGATTGGCTGGATTCGTCCAGGGAAAGTGAAGCAACAGGAGGTAAAGTTGCAGCAGCAGCAGCAGCAGCAGCAGCAGGAATTGCAGCAACGGCAGGTGCAGCAGAGGCGTCACAGATTCCCACGCTCTCACTGCTGAGTCCACGAAGACGCCCAACCATGCAGCAGCAGCAGCAGCAGCAGCAGCAGCAGCAGCAGCAGCAGCAGCAGCTCCTCTTAGCCCATCCGCCCGCATCCGCCCCTCCTTCAACTGCCCTGTATCCGCCACGGCAGCAGCGCTTACTCCATTGTCCGCCCCCACTTGTGCTTAGAGGCCCTATTTCTCAAGCCTTTTCTCCAGCCTCCCCTCTAGCTTTCCCGCAGCAGCAGATCAGCCTCCCCCAAGTCAGCCCCAGCCCGTCTCAGAAGCCCCCTCAGATAAACCCGTCTGGAAACACCTCCCTGAATGCCGGAGCATCGAAGTCCTTCCGCCTGCCTCCACCTCTCATTGTAGCAGATGCCTCCCTGCAGTCTAACGTGCCCATGCCCGTGCCCATGCCCGTGCCCATGCCCGTGCCCATGCGCATGTCCATGTCTAACCCCGAATTCTCCTACCCCTTGCCTGCAAACCCCAATTTGTCCAGCCCTGATTCGCCCCACCTTTCATCGTCTCATCCACAATTACCGCACTCCCCCCTTCCACCACCAGTATCTCCCCACCCGCAATCCGCTCACCTTCCCCCATCCCTCCTCTCCCAATCCTTCCCTTTCCACCCTCCACTTCCCCAGTCGCACGCCCACCCTCTCGCTCCCCCTTCTCCCTTCTCCTTCCCGCTCTCCCCAGCGTCTCCCTCTCTGCTGATGCGGAAAGTGTGGGAGGCAGAGGGGGCATGTGATAGTGGGGGTTCTCATGGGGACCTGTATGGGCTGGTCACGCCTCATGCTGACGACTTGCACGAGTCTTGGCCTGCCACTGCTGCTGCTGCTGGGGGAATCAAGGCGTCTCAGGGAGAATCGTTGTTTGCTGATGCAGGAGGCAGCAGTGGGAGTGCGGCCAGTTTTGAGGCGTCGCACAGCTCTCAAAGTTCAACCGATGGGAGGGGAACGAGTTATGTTGCAGAAGAAAGAACCAAAGGGGTGAAGGACGAAGAGCAGAAGGATGAGGGAGAGGAGGACGGGGATGAGTCTTTACCTGTGTGTAAGCCCTTGGGGAGTGAGGGGACGAGAAACGGGGTGATAGGTTTTCAGCAGCAGCAGCAGCAGCAGCAGCCACAGCAGCAGCAGCAGCAGCAGATAATGCAGGAGGCGCAGCAGAAGCAACAGCGGCGGCATCAGCAGAATCAGCAGCTTCAACAGCAACAGCAGCAACAACAGCTGCTGTTGCAGCAGCAGCAGAAGCTGTACGAACAACAACAGCAACAGCGGCAGCAGCAGATTCAGCACTCACACATACAACAGGTGCAGCAGCATCTGCTACAGCTACAGCAACAGCTGCAGCAGCTGGAGCAGCAGCAGCAGCAGCAGCACAGTGGCCAGTTAGTCGTTCCTTCTATAGTTGGAGGATCCTTCAATTTCACTGTAAATGCCACCACGGGTGCTCTCCATCCTTCCCTGCATCCTCCTCCCCACCCTCCGTTCAGCATCTTCCACCCTCCTCTGAACAGTCCCAGGAGCACCAGCCAGTCCTTTATGGATCTCCACCCCCCCCAATCCTACTCCGCTATTTATGTCTCCTCCTCCTCCTCCTCCTCCTCCTCCTCCTCCTCCTCCTCCTCCTCCTCCTCCTCCTCCTCCTCCTCTTCCTCCTCCTCCTCTTCTTCCTCTTCCACCAACGATCCCTCTTCCACCATTCCCACCACCACCACCACCACCACCGTCGCCACCACGGCCACTCCCACTGCCATAACAAGCAGCACCAGCCGCAGCAGCAGCAGCAGCAGTGGCGGCAGCAGCCGCAAAGTCAAGAGAACACCAAGCGTGTCCACTGCACCTGGCACACCTGGAAAAACTCCTGGCACTCCAAAAGAACCGTCCTCCTCGCAGCTTCCCTGCCGATTGTGGGCGTCTGCAGAGGCAATCCCTGTGGGTCTCCTATTCAGCAGCACCAACGATCCACTCCCTCCTCCTCTTCCTTCTCCACGCTCGCACGCTCCCCACTCCCCCCCGCCCTACCGTTCCGTTTTCCCCCCGCCTTTCCGCGCACCGCCCCTCTCCCCTTAATGCTCTCACTCCCCATCCTCCCCCTTCTCCCCGCCCTGGCGCTGCCCCCCCTGTTGCTAGAGTCACGCCACGTGGTAGAAGGAGTTTGTCTGTGGATGTACCAGCCTCTCAGAGCCGGGATTTTGATTTGCCGAAAACACCCAGAGCAGGTACACCCAGGGTTGGTACACCCAGGGTAGGTACACCCAGGGCGTGTACACCTAAAGAAGGCACAACTAGGGCAGGTACACCCGTTTCCAGCTCAAGCACTCCTAAGGGTGAGGCTTCAACTCCCAGATTGCGGAGCCAAGGAGCAAGGTCGTTTAAAGGCTCTGATTCGTTTAGAGTAAGAGATGGTACAGGGCAGCTGCAAAAGCCAGACAGTATAGAGCCTGGGGAGGTCAGAGGTGCAAAAGAAGAGAAGGAAACGGAAAGTGAGAGGGGGAGGAGGGATGAGACAACGACAGCGAGAGGGCAGAAGAAGGAGGAGGGGGGCGAGGAGGGAACGAAGGAGAAGGAGGAGGATACGATAAACGAGGTAGATAAGCCTGATAAGCCTGATAAGCCTCTCTGGTCGCAGTTGAAGGATCGCCTGCGAGTGCGGTCGTCAAGCAGAAGCATGGGCGCCATTGCATTCTCACCGCGCTCTCTCCCCTCACCTGACCCACACCACACACTGCCTCTCTCCCGTTTGCCTTTCTCTCCGCGTCATGCCCCTGCCCCTCCCGAGCAACCCATTACATCCCTGCTTCAAGCACCTGACACCCCTTCATCTGCCTCTCTTTCTGGCCCGGCGGAAGGTAGTATTGCTGCGAGTGTGAGCAGCAGGAGCAGTGGCAGTAGCAGGAGGCTTGTTGCCTCGGCTTCCACTCGCAGCCTGAAACAAACAGAGATTTCTGCCGCTGGGGGGAATGTCAGTGCTGGGCGTATCGTGGAAGAAGGTTCCAGGAAGGATAGGAGAACTGCTGCTGCTTCTGCCATGCCAGTGCTGGTACTGCTGTTGGTCCTGGTGCTTCCAGTGTTGCTGCTGCTGCTGCTGCAGACGCAACACCTAGGAGGCATAGGCGAGCCAAATCAGCTGTTAGTTTTGCGGTGGCTGATTATATCGAAGCAGTGGTTAAGGGCGTGGGATTGAGCGACAGCGAATCCGATGTGACACTGGGCGGCAAGGTTGAGACCAGCACACGTGGCAAGGATGACGGGAGAGGGGGGAAGAGAGGTGGGGAGGGAGGTGGGGAGAAAGGGAGGGAAAGAGCGGCGGAAAGACGGGGGGAGAGAGGTAAGGAGAGTGAAAAAGATGAAGAGCAGGAGAGGTATGATTCAAATCGGAGGGTGGTGGTGCAGGAGTGGGTGTCAAGCCTGGTTCCTCTGAAAGGTGGGGATGATGAAGGGGACGAAGGAGATGATGAGGATGGGGGGAGAGTAACGGTGGTGCGAGTGGGGAGTGCTGGTGAAGTGACCAAGAGCCGAAGCCCTAAAACTCCCAGTAGAACACCCAGGAGTAGAACTCCTGGTAAGAGCCCGACAGGGGGCAGGCGAAGGAGCCCCAGGAGTTTCAAGGAAGAGCAGGGCAGGAGTCCCAAGGGCGAGGCCTCGTTATTGGAGCACTCGTTAGTAGATAATTCGTTAGTAAGGGATCATACGGATGACGAGAAAGAGCAGCAGAGGCGGCGCCGGCAGCGGCGGCTGCGGCAGCTGCGATTGGGGAGGAGGTCGAGAGTGGGAGAGGAGGAGATGGGTTGCGAGGAGGAGGGAGATGAGGGGGTGGAGGGGGTGGAGGGGGAGAGGGGGATGGGAAAAGGGGAGGGAGGTGAGAGAGGGAGAAGCGAGTGGAAGGGAGTAGGCAGGCTGGCAGGTGCAGCTGAGCTATTGTTGATGAGACAGTTGCAGGAGAGGGAAGAAAATGGGGTAGGAGATGGGGGAGGAGATGGGGGAGGAGATGGGGGAGGAGATGGGGGAGGAGAGAGGCGAAGAGAGAAAGATGGAGGGAGAGAGCACAGGAGGACGGATAGTTCCCGAGGCAGGGCTTCTTTCAGGGAAAACGAGAGTGGGGAAGGGAGAGGGGAAGACGTAGGGCGTTTGGAGAGAGCGAGAGGGAAAGGGAGCAGGGAAGGATGCGGGAACGGGGGCGAGCAGCAGCAGGAGACGGAGGGTACGGAACGTGAGAGTGCAGGTGGGAAGCTGCCACAGGAGAAGGACGAGGCAGAGTCCAGGAAAACACGGAATGGGCAAGAAAAGGACAGTGGGGAACGGAAGGAGGGTGGGGAGCGCAAGGAGGGGAGAGGAAGGAAGGAGATGGTTTCAAAGGTGGCCAGGCGAGACAGCGCCATGGCGCGCAGCAATGAGAAGGTGTATGCCACCATGCGCCGCTCCAAGGACCTCAAGTCCACCAGTGGTGGGGGCCCTTCGGACCTTGTCAAGCCCTCTGCTGCTGGACGCCTTGCAGCAGGCTTTGCGGGCTTTGATGCGTCTAGGGTTCGCGGCGCAATCACGCCGGGACGTTCTCGGGGGAAGGCTGGCGGGACTTCGTTTCGGGCAGCTGAGAAGAGTTTTCTGCCCGATCTCGAGACGACAGTGATGGATTTGAAGCTGGATTTGAAAGCAGCAGCATGCGCAGACTCGTCTCGCTTTGAGGAGCTTCGGCAGAAACAGTCGGCTTCAGCTGCTGCTGCCGCTGCCATCGCTGCTGCTGTCAGTGGTGCTGCTTCTGGCAGTGCTGCTGCTGCTGCTGCTGCTGCTGCTGCTGTCGAAACTCCAAGCAGGGGCAGCCAGGCGAAGAGCCCATGGCGCAACTCTAAAGACCGAAGACGGATGTGTTACAGCGACCTTGGGGGCCTGGCCTCTCTTGATAGCACCGAGGGGCAAGGGCTGGGAGACCCGGGGCCGGTGAGAGAGGGGGGGATTAGGCGATCTGGTGAGAGTGTGGGGAGTTTGACGGTGGTGGTGAGGGGGAGTGGCAGGGAAAAGTCGAGAGAGAAAGGGCGGCGGGTGGGGAAGGAGCGGACAAGGGAGGGAGAGAGGGAGAAGGAGAAGGAGCGGGAGAAGGAGAGGGAGAGGATTAATGATGGGGGAAAATCAACCTCTGGTGCACTTGCACATGATATTAGTCAGGGCAGCACTGCAGGCAGCAGCAGCAAGCATGGCAACAGCAGCAGCAACCAGAGCCAGAACCTCAGCCCATTGCGAATCGAAATGCCTGTCTCGCCCCACACCCCGTCATCCTCCGGCTTTAAACCCAGCTTCTTGACCAGCATGCTGTCCCCCAGGGGTCTTATTGGCTCCTGGCGGCCTCCTAAAGTGGGGCTTTTAGGCGGGGAGATCTGCTCTCTGCAGGAGCGGTACTTAGTTAAGCAAGAGATTGGGAGCGGGTCGTATGGGATGATCCGAGCGGTGCGGGAGAAGGAGACGGGCAAGACGTGGGCGTGCAAGAGCATTGGGAAAGAGCAGATACAAGTGAGTGAGAAAACTGTTGGAGAAAGGTGTTGCAGGTACAGGTGGAGAAAGGTGTTGCAGGTACAGGAGGAGAAAGGTGTTGCAGGTACAGGAGGAGAAAGGTGTTGCAGGTACAGGAGGAGAAAGGTGTTGCAGGTACAGGAGGAGAAAGGTGTTGTAGGTACAGGTGGAGAAAGGTGTTGCAGGTACAGGAGGAGAAAGGTGTTGCAGGTACAGGAGGAGAAAGGTGTTGCAGGTACAGGTGGAGAAAGGTGTTGCAGGTACAGGAGGAGAAAGGTGTTGCAAGTACAGGTGGAGAAAGGTGTTGCAGGTATAGTTGGAGAAAGGTGTTGGAGGTACAGGAGGAGAAAGGTGTTACAGGTACAGGTGGAGAAAGGTGTTGCAGGTACAGGTGGAGAAAGGTGTTGCAGGTACAGTTGGAGAAAGGTGTTGCAGGTACAGGTGGAGAAAGGTGTTGCAGGTACAGTTGGAGAAAGGTGTTGCAGGTACAGGTGGAGAAAGGTGTTGCAGGTACAGTTGGAGAAAGGTGTTGCAGGTACAGTTGGAGAAAGGTGTTGCAGGTACAGTTGGAGAAAGGTGTTGCAGGTACAGTTGGAGAAAGGTGTTGCAGGTACAGTTGGAGAAAGGTGTTGCAGGTACAGGAGGAGAAAGGTGTTGCAGGTACAGGAGGAGAAAGGTGTTGCAGGTACAGGTGGAGAAAGGTGTTGCAGGTACAGGAGGAGAAAGGTGTTGCAGGTACAGGAGGAGAAAGGTGTTGCAGGTACAGGTGGAGAAAGGTGTTGCAGGTACAGTTGGAGAAAGGTGTTGCAGGTACAGGAGGAGAAAGGTGTTGCAGGTACAGGTGGAGAAAGGTGTTGCAGGTACAGTTGGAGAAAGGTGTTGCAGGTACAGGAGGAGAAAGGTGTTGCAGGTACAGGTGGAGAAAGGTGTTGCAGGTACAGGTGGAGAAAGGTGTTGCAGGTACAGTTGGAGAAAGGTGTTGCAGGTACAGTTGGAGAAAGGTGTTGCAGGTACAGTTGGAGAAAGGTGTTGCAGGTACAGGTGGAGAAAGGTGTTGCAGGTACAGTTGGAGAAAGGTGTTGCAGGTACAGTTGGAGAAAGGTGTTGCAGGTACAGTTGGAGAAAGGTGTTGCAGGTACAGTTGGAGAAAGGTGTTGCAGGTACAGTTGGAGAAAGGTGTTGCAGGTACAGTTGGAGAAAGGTGTTGCAGGTACAGTTGGAGAAAGGTGTTGCAGGTACAGGTGGAGAAAGGTGTTGCAGGTACAGGTGGAGAAAGGTGTTGCAGGTACAGGTGGAGAAAGGTGTTGCAGGTACAGGTGGAGAAAGGTGTTGCAGGTACAGGTGGAGAAAGGTGTTGCAGGTACAGGTGGAGAAAGGTGTTGCAGGTACAGGTGGAGAAAGGTGTTGCAGGTACAGTTGGAGAAAGGTGTTGCAGGTACAGGTGGAGAAAGGTGTTGCAGGTACAGTTGGAGAAAGGTGTTGCAGGTACAGTTGGAGAAAGGTGTTGCAGGTACAGGTGGAGAAAGGTGTTGCAGGTACAGGTGGATAAAGGTGTTGCAGGTACAGGTGGAGAAAGGTGTTGCAGGTACAGTTGGAGAAAGGTGTTGCAGGTACAGTTGGAGAAAGGTGTTGCAGGTACAGGTGGAGAAAGGTGTTGCAGGTACAGGTGGAGAAAGGTGTTGCAGGTACAGGTGGATAAAGGTGTTGCAGGTACAGGTGGAGAAAGGTGTTGCAGGTACAGTTGGAGAAAGGTGTTGCAGGTACAGGTGGAGAAAGGTGTTGCAGGTACAGGGGGAGGAAGGTGTTGCAGGTACAGTTGGAGAAAGGTGTTGCAGGTACAGGTGGAGAAAGGTGTTGCAGGTACAGTTGGAGAAAGGTGTTGCAGGTACAGTTGGAGGAAGGTGTTGCAGGTACAGGTGGAGAAAGGTGTTGCAGGTACAGGTGGAGGAAGGTGTTGCAGGTACAGTTGGAGAAAGGTGTTGCAGGTACAGGTGGAGAAAGGTGTTGCAGGTACAGGTGGAGAAAGGTGTTGCAGGTACAGGTGGAGAAAGGTGTTGCAGGTACAGGTGGAGAAAGGTGTTGCAGGTACAGTTGGAGAAAGGTGTTGCAGGTACAGGTGGAGGAAGGTGTTGCAGGTACAGGTGGAGGAAGGTGTTGCAGGTACAGGTGGAGAAAGGTGTTGCAGGTACAGGTGGAGAAAGGTGTTGCAGGTACAGTTGGAGAAAGGTGTTGCAGGTACAGGTGGAGGAAGGTGTTGCAGGTACAGGTGGAGAAAGGTGTTGCAGGTACAGGTGGAGAAAGGTGTTGCAGGTACAGGTGGAGCAAGGTGTTGCAGGTACAGGTGGAGAAAGGTGTTGCAGGTACAGGTGGAGAAAGGTGTTGCAGGTACAGGTGGAGAAAGGTGTTGCAGGTACAGGTGGAGGAAGGTGTTGCAGGTACAGGTGGAGGAAGGTGTTGCAGGTACAGGTGGAGCAAGGTGTTGCAGGTACAGGTGGAGCAAGGTGTTGCAGGTACAGTTGGAGAAAGGTGTTGCAGGTACAGTTGGAGAAAGGTGTTGCAGGTACAGGTGGAGAAAGGTGTTGCAGGTACAGTTGGAGAAAGGTGTTGCAGGTACAGTTGGAGAAAGGTGTTGCAGGTACAGGTGGAGAAAGGTGTTGCAGGTACAGGTGGAGAAAGGTGTTGCAGGTACAGGTGGAGAAAGGTGTTGCAGGTACAGGTGGAGAAAGGTGTTGCAGGTACAGGTGGAGAAAGGTGTTGCAGGTACAGGTGGAGAAAGGTGTTGCAGGTACAGGTGGAGAAAGGTGTTGCAGGTACAGGTGGAGAAAGGTGTTGCAGGTACAGGTGGAGAAAGGTGTTGCAGGTACAGGTGGAGAAAGGTGTTGCAGGTACAGGTGGAGAAAGGTGTTGCAGGTACAGGTGGAGAAAGGTGTTGCAGGTACAGGTGACCGTGAGTGAGAGTTGACTGCCCGCATGCCCCCATTTCTCCAATCCCCCTTTCCTCAATTAATTCATCCTTCCAGCCCCCATTCCTCCAATCCCCTGTTCCGCCACGCTACCATTCCCTCACTCACCCACTGCTTCATCGCCCTCTCCCTCTAACTCCTCCTGGATCTCCCCCCTCCCCCTCACTCGCCCGCTATCCCATTCCCCCGCTTCCGCAGGCTCACCTTCGGACCAAGGCAGCAGTGGCAGCCCTGCGGCAGGAAGTGGCAGTGTTGCAGTTGCTGATTGGGATTCAATACTCTCGCTCTGACTCCCCCTTAATCCTCCCCCCCATTCCCCCACTCCCCCATTCCCCCACCCGCTCCCCCATCCCCCATTCCCCCACTAACCCCTTCAGACCAAGGCAGCAGTGGCAGCGCTGCGGCAGGAAGTGGCAGTGATGCAGTTGCTGAAGGGGCACCCACACGTGGTGGAGATCAAAGAGACCATGGAAGATGACACGGTACGTGTGTTTGGATGACACGGTACGTGTGCTTGGATGACACGGTACGTGTGTTTGGATGACACGGTACGTGTGTTTGGATGACACGGTACGTGTGCTTGGATGACACGGTACGTGTGTTTGGATGACACGGTACGTGTGCTTGGATGACACGGTACGTGTGTTTGGATGACACGGTACGTGTGTGTGGATGGCACGGGGTGTGTGTGGATGGCACGGGGTGTGTGTGGATGGCACGGGGTGTGTGTGGATGGCACGGGGTGTGTGTGGATGGCACGGGGTGTGTGTGGATGGCACGGGGTGTGTGTGGATGGCACGGGGTGTGTGTGAAGATGGGATGATGAAGGTGAAGGAGGTGACACAGTGGAAATGGATGTGGACGATGGCATGGTTGTTTTGTGTCACTGAGAGTACGAGTGTGACAGAGCACGTGTGTGACAGAGCACTTGTGTGACAGAGCACTTGTGTGACAGAGCACTTGTGTGACAGAGCACTTGTGTGACAGAGCACTTGTGTGACAGAGCACTTGTGTGACAGAGCACTTGTGTGACAGAGCACTTGTGTGACAGAGCACTTGTGTGACAGAGCACTTGTGTGACAGAGCACGTGTGTGACAGAGCACTTGTGTGACAGAGCACTTGTGTGACAGAGCACTTGTGTGACAGAGCACTTGTGTGACAGAGCACGTGTGTGGCAGAGCACTTGTGTGGATGACATAGCAGACTGAGGGTGTGACGTGATGGCATGGTGTGTGTGTGTGCATGGCACGGAGTGTGTGTGTGTATGACATAGTTGTTGCGCTGTGTGTTATGCGCCGTGTGTTATGCGCCGTGTGTTATGCGCCGCGCCGTGTGTTATGCCCCGTGCGTTATGCGCCGTGTGTTATGTGCCGTGCCGTCCGCAGTGTGGGGTGTGGTGTGTGTGCAGAGAGAGGCCTTCTCCAGGACTGGCACTGAAGTCAACACCCTCGCTACCCACCTTCTTCGCCCCACCCCGTCCCGCTCCCACCTCTCCCCCACGCGCACAACCCATGCGACTCCCCACCCCCCCGTCAACCCAGCCTTCCCCTTACCTACTCCCCCTGCCCCTTCCCCCCCATCTCCATGATACGCCCGCCCCACCAGCACGGGCACATCAGCATGCATCTCTGCCAGGGGGGCGACTTCCCATCCCTCAAAACCCCCTCTCACACCCCCTCTCCCATCGCATGTCGCCCCCACCCTCCCACACCCTCTCCCCCCTGCACGTGCTTATCAGCATGCAGCTCTGCCAGGGAGGGGGGTTCTCATCATGCACCCATTCGCTTGCACCCTCCCATGCAGACCCCCCGATGCATTTCCCCCGCCCCTTCCTTCCCTTTCCCCCAACCCTCCTCCCCCCACATAACCATGCAGCTCTGCCAGGGGGGGGACCTCTTCGATCGCATCATCACCCACGGTGCTCCTCCCCTCCCCTTTCTTCGCCCCGTCTCCCACCCCTCCCCTGCCGCCCCCCCTCTTCTCCCCCACCAGCACGTGCACATCATCATGCAGTTGTGCCAGGGCGGGGACCTCTTTGATCGCATCAAGCAGCGCAGCCGCTACGAGGAGAGGCCTGCAGCGGCCGTGCTGCAGCAGCTGGCGCTGGTGCTGCGCGCGTGCCACTCCCTGGGGGTCATGCACCGCGATGTGAAGCCTGAGAACCTCTTGCTCTGCTCGCCCACCGATGACGTTGCTGTGAAAGTCACGGATTTCGGGATTGCTGCTACGATCAAGTCAGGTGGGGCATCGGGGTAAGAGACTGGGGATGCCGAGTGGAGCAGTGGGAAATGCTGCAGCAGCTGGCTCTGGTGCTGCAGTGCGTGTAGGCATGCCACTCGCTGGGTCGGTGTCATGCATCGCACCGCGATATGAAGCCTGGAAACTTGCTGCTCTGCTCTCCCAGAGGTGTTTTGAGTTTACTCCCCCACGAATGAAGTTGCTGTGATTTCACGGATTTCGGGATTGCAGCGTCAGTCAAATCAGGTGGGTCAATGGGATAAGGTTGAGAACTGCTGCAACAGATGGTACTGCTGGTATGAGAAAGACCAGACCAGCAGTCCTTGTCTTACAACCCTCATAATTAACCTCCTTCTCTTCCCCTCCCTGTTCGTCCTGCTCATCTCCCTCTGCCCTTCTCACTCTGTCCCCCCCCCCCCCCCACCCAGCGCCAAGCTAACAAGGTTCATAGGGTCCCACATGTACATGGCACCAGAAGCTCCCATCGCAACTCCCTTTTCCTCCCTTCTTGCTCCTCTGCCCTCTTCTCTGTGCCCCCCTTCCAGGTCCCAAACTAACAGGGTTCAGAGGATCCCACATCTACATGGCACCAGAAACGTTGGCTTATTCCTGTGCTCTTTCCCTTCCTGTTCCCGCTCTCTCCTTCCCTCTGCCCCTCTTCCCGCCCCCCTCCAGGCACCAAGCTCACAGAGTTCATAGGGTCTCACATGTACATGGCACCAGAAGTGATCAACAAAAGCTACAGTGCCGAGGCCGACGTCTGGTCGGCGGGAGTCGTCCTATACGTGCTTCTGGCCGGCGTGCCGCCCTTCTGGGCATCAACAGAATCTGGAGTGCTGGATGCAATTGTATCCAAGCCTCTCAACTTCTCCTTCCCTCCGTGGCCTTTTATGTCCACGGACGCCAAGGACCTTATAAAAGAGATGCTTAAGAAAGATCCAGCTGAGCGAATCACACTGGATGGAGTGCTCGGTAAGTGCACCGAGCACCGTAAGTTACAATGTCACAAAGCGCTGCCGCTCTGTTGTTTACCACCCCTTGGACCATGTTGTTCTGTAAGTTAACCAACCCTATTCGCTTGATAAACTAGTTGTATTCCAAGTTTGTCTTCTGCCTCGTGTCATTTTCTCTCCCTTTCGTTTGACTTCCAGATCATACCATATCCTCACTTTCTCATGCCCTTGCCATCCTTCCCTCTGCAACATTTCCAACACTCACGCCCTTTTGCCCTCTCTCCCTCTCCCTCCCTCCCTCCCTCCCTCCCTCCCTCCCTCCCTCCCTCCCTCCCTCCCTCCCTCCCTCCCTCCCTCCCTCCCTCCCTCTCGCCCTCCCTCCTTCCCTCCATCCCTCCCTCCCTCCCTCCCTCCCTCCCTCCCTCCCTCCCTCCCTCCCTCCCTCCCTCCCTCCCTCCCTCCCTCCCTCCCTCCCTCCCTCCCTCCCTCCCTCTCTCCCTCCCTCCCTCCCTCCCTCCCTCCCTCCCTCCATCCCCCCTCCCTTCCCCCTCCGTTTCTTCCCTGCCTCTCCTCCCCCACACACCCTCCCTCCCTCCATCCCCCCTCCCTTCCCCCTCCGTTTCTTCCCTGCCTCTCCTCCCCCACACACCTCAATCCCTCTCTCTCCGTACATATGCCCCATGCACCCCCATGTCAGAGCATCCCTGGATCAAGACCCATACTGCACTCCTGTGATACACTATTCACTCAAATGTACACACTTCCTGTTATTCGCAACCCTGCTCCTTTATCCTGGTAGGTTGGCATATCAATTCTTTCGAATGAACCCCGCCCCGAAAACAACCCCCCCCCTCCCCCCCCCCTCCTCCCCCCCCTCTTCACCACCTTCTCCATTCTTCCCCCCTCCTTCCCCGCCCTCCACTCCTCCCCCTTTCCCCTTCCCCCCTCCGAATTCATCCAAATGTGCATAAGGAACCCCTTCTTTTGTGAGATTTTAAAGCTGAGGCATCATAGCTTTTTTGTTGATATTACCAAGAATCGTATTGGATAGGATAAGTCTGTCAAAATATATTGATTATACTTTATATAATTGCTTGTGGTTCATCTGTAGTGTGGTTATCATGTATTCTGTTTGGTGATGCACCCTTAGTAGTTCTTGTTGGTTGCCCATAAGGGATACAACCCAATTAGGGTTACTAGTACCCAACGTTCTGCTCAATGCATTCATTCTCGTTCAGTATTCTGACATGGTTTCAGAGTACGTCCTGTTCTATGACCGTTTTTTTTTTAGGGCCCACCACAGAGCGTTGCCCTACTAGCTGCCCTGCCGCACTGCCCCTCTCCCCCCCCCCCGCAGCTCTTCCTTGCTCCAGGTCCCCCTCCGGTAGACCCCCTCCCCCCTTAGGGTCCTGCTCCCTCAGGTGTGTCTCAGATAGACCCACTCCCCGGGACTGTGCCTGTCGAGGTCGCTGTAGACTCAGGTGCTGAGCCTGAGGGTGCGAAGCCTGGGGGTGCTGAGTATGAGGGTGCGGAGTCTGGGGGTGATGAGCCTGGGGGTGCGGAGCCTGGGGGTACTGAGCCTGAGGGTGTGGAGCCTGGGGGTGCTGAGTCTGAGGGTGTGGAGTCTGGGGGTGCTGAGCCTAGGGGTACTTCGTCTGCTGGAGGTCGTGCGGGTGCCTCGCCACGACTGTCTCCCCGGCGGGAGCCTCTCTCACTGCAGCAGCTGCGCGAGTGGTTTGCTAAGCGCACACGCCTTCGGAGTGGAGCTGCAGGAGCTGGAGGCTCTGCCGCTGGAGACACTGGAGCTGGAGGTGCTGGAGTTGTTAGTCTTGGAGGTGCTGGAATTACTGCTGGGGCTGGAGGTACCAGAGGTGCTGGAGCTGCTGGTCCTGGAGGTGCTCGTATTAGAGGTACTGGAGCTGCCGGGGCTGGTGGTGTTGGAGGCGCTGGAGCTGGAGGAATTGGAGCTGCAGACCCTGGCGCTGGAGGCGCTGGAGCTGGAGGCACTAGCGCTGGAGGCGCTGGAGCTGGACACACTGGAGCTGGAGACTCTGGAGCTGGAGGCACTGGAGCTGGAGACTCTGGAGCTAGAGGCACTGGCGCTGGCGGCGCTGGAGCTAGAGGAGCTGGAACTAAAGACCCTGGCGCTGGAAGCGCTGGAGCTGGAGGCGCTGGAGCTGTCGACTCAGGAGCTGGAGACCCTGGAGTTGGAGATACCGGCGATGGGGGTGCTGCGTCTGGCGGTACTGGTGCTGGACGCATTGTGCAGCGGCGACCGTTTCTCGTTCCGCCGCCACCGTCGTCTCTGCCGCCACCTGACTCGGTCCTTTGCCAGGTTCTTAGTCTCCCGTCTTCTGCTGGCCTTCCTCCTAGCTTACTAAGTCCACCGCCTCACCAGACGCAGCCACAGTTACAGCCAGGCTCCCCACTGCCTGCTCCTCCTTACGCTGAGCAGGCAGACTCTTTTACAGAGCGTCGTGACCCTGATGTTAACATAGTAGGAGAGATTAGGAAATGAGTGAGATTAGGAAAGGAAGGGGTGGTACAAGTAGAATGTCGAGAGAAACTCTGTACCCCCTACGGCTAAACCCACTATAGCCTAGACAACTGTAAACACATAAACTAAACCTAGATACAACTAAGCATATATGTTTGACACCTGAGTCTCGTCCTGCCTAGCCTGTTCGTGCTGTTCGCACTGGTCGTCGTGTTCCTCGTCCGTGTCCTCCTCCTCTCTCCGGCACTCACATTATGGCACTTCGTCCTTCTTCTGTTCCACTGCGAGCTCCCCTGCCGCCTCCTCCTGAGTCCTCTCTTCCTGATGTTCCTAACCCTGAGTCTCACTTAGCTCGTGCTGCCAGTCCTACTGTCCCTCGTCTTCTCGCCACTGTTGTCACTGACCCTTCTTTTGAGTCCACTGATGCGTCTGCCCTAGTTGCTGAGCTTGTTGATTTTGCTGCCACCTGTTGTCTCGACTACGCCACTAGTCTTGTTGCTAAGTCTGAGTGTGACTGTCCTCCGTCCGTCGGGGGTGAGTGTGCTCTTGGCACGGACGTCCTTCAGGACAGGCAGAAGGACTTTGAGTGTCTTGCAGCTGCTGTACCTCATCTCGTGGCCATGCTGCTTGCACCTTAGGGAGACGCGGAAGCACCAGACATCCCGACCCCGCGCTCTTACGCAGAGGCGATTACGGGTCCCTACTCCCATCAGTGGCAGACAGCCATGGACGCAGAGATGGCATCCTGGAAGTCCACAGGCATCTACGTCGATGTAGTTCCCCCTTCTGGGGCAAACATAGTCGATGGCATGTGGATTTTCAGGGTGAAGCGGCCGCCGGGTTCTCCGCCTGTCTTCAAGGCTCGTTACGTTGCACGAGGCTTCAGTCAGGGACAGGGAGTTGACTTCTTCCAGACCTTCTCCCCTACCCCGAAGATGACCACTCTTTGGGTTCTGCTGCACGTCGCCGCTTAGCGTGACTACGAGCTTCACTCTCTTGACTTCAGCACAACTTTCTTACAGGGCAGCCTGCACGAGGAGATCTGGCTGCGCCGCCCACCTGGCTTCACCGGCCAGTCTACGGTCTCCACCAGGCGCCTCGCGAATGGCACGACACACTGAGGACGAAGTCTGCGGTTCTTGGGTTTGCTCTTTCCACTGCTGACCCGTCGCTGTTTCTATGCACCGACACTTCGCTGTCGCCGTTCTACGTCCTCGCGTACGTCGACGACTTGGTCTTTGCCACTGCTAACACTGAGGCCCTTGTGAAGTCGGAGCTGCAGAAGAGATATGCCTACACTGACCTGGGTGAACTGCGCAGCTATCTTGGCTTGCCGATCACCCGGGACAGAGCACGGCGTACCATCACCCTGACTCAGTCACACATGGTGCACCAGGTCCTTCAGCGCTTCGGCTTCCGGTACTCCTCGCCACTGTCCACTCCTCTGCCTACCGGTCACTCGCTCTCAACTCCACCTTCATACAAGTCCGTAGAGCTGAGTGGCCCGTATCCAGAGCTTGTGGGCTGCCTCATGTACCTGATGACCTGCACTTGACCTGACTTTGCCTACCCTCTTAGCATCCTGGCACGCTACATTGCGCCCGGGAGACACCGACCAGAGCACTGGGAGGCCGCTAAGAGGGTGTTGCGCTACTTGTGCAGTACTTCGGGCATGGGGCTCGTGCTTGGAGGAAGGGGTCCAGTTGTCCTCACTGGTCACGCAGACGCTTCTTGGGTTGAAAACTTGGCTACGCAGCGGTCGTCACAGGGTTACACCTTCAGCCTTGGCTCCGGCTCTGTTTCTTGGCGGTCTACCCGCTCGTCTTCTTTTCTCAGTTCCAGTTGTGAGGTTGAGATCTACGCACGGGCCATGGCTACACAGGAGTTACGCTGGCTCACCTACCTGCTGACCGATTTGGGAGAGCGGCCTCGTTCTTCTCTAGTTGTGTTCGTAGACAACAAGGCCATGATTGCCTTGTGTCAGGAGCATAGACTGGAGCACAGAACGAAGCACATCGCTCTGCGTTACTTCCTTGCTCGAGAGTTGCAGCAGCGTGGTCAGCTTCGTCTTGCGTACGTGGCCACTAGGGCCAACACTACTGATATATTCACCAAGGCACTTCAGTCGGGTGATCATCAGCGTTTCTGTACTGTGTTAGGCCTTGTGCCTACTTTGCCTCACTTGCTCACTGCGTGACTTTGCTTGTACTGTGATCGATATATATACTTGCATGCTTACTCTTGCTAGGCTGTGATCACTACTGTTTGTTCTCTTTTATATAACTCAGCATGTGAACTGGCCTTGTGGCCATTCGCTTGTCCTCGGAATGTGTGGTGACTTCGTGATCCACCTTGAGCTTGCTTTGCTTTTCTTTACTGGTCTTGTGACCACTTGTTCTCCCCCACTTTGCCTATGGGGGTGTGTCAAACTTTTATAGTGCTTATATTGTGTAGGCTGTAGTGGGGTAGCCCATAAGGGGTACAACCCAAATAGGGTTAGTACTTGTACCCAACTTTCTATGCAATCCATTCATTTTCATTCAGTATTCTGACACATTCATCCCTAGTTGGCACAACGCTCTCTTCTTACTACTTGGCCTTGGCTACTAAGCCTAGGCTCTACCAAAACCCAAGTCCCAACGTATGGTACTATTTTATCAAAGTCTAGCCAAGTTGTGAGAAGACAGTGAAGTCTTTGTAATGTCCTTGTTAGTAATAGTTGAAAGAGAACAAGATGATTTACGATAGGAGTACAAGGATATAGATAGCAATCCTAGCTAGCCATGTACTTTGAGGGGTACATTCCCTTACTAATTGTATTGCATTTCTACAGTAACCACGACTATTGCTCTACACGACAGTTACCAGGTTGCAATGTGTAACCTCCAAGTACGGTTACTGGGCAGTCAACAGTCGCGACCAGGCCCTCAGATTGGTTTGAGGGTAGACTGATAAATAGTGTTGTGCAAACAAAAAAATCTCTTGTGCGCTGATTAATCAGCGCTCAGTGTAGGCTTTATACTCAATTTCTCAGTGTTGTTTCCAATGGTATGCCGACCCATCAGTGTAAACAAAAACTACACACTGTATCATCGAGACATGATTCAGTTCCGTGGGGTGGGGTATGTTCACGTTAATCTATTCAACAAGTCTAACTAGAATCAGATATGAAAAGATAATGTATGGTGGGCGGGAGGGAGGGAGGGAGTGGATGGGTGGGGACAAGACACAGCTGCAG